ACATCTGTTTCATCAACTTTTCTCACTTTGAATCCAGAAAGAGAAGCCTTAGGCTGAGAAAAGTTACAGCAGAAGCAGGCTCTGAGGAGATCCTGGCTTTTCTTGAGCATCTTATTGGTAGTAAAGTGGGAGTTTACGAAGAATGGAGTTCAGATAGATTGCTTATGTGGTATCTCACATGTATTTGCCCTGAGGCAAAGAGTTAAATTCCCCTGGAATGTTTCTCTAAAGGCCTGTGTTATGTTTGGCACTGCCTAGGTCATCAAGAAGAAGCTGGTGGGATCAGTAAAGGCTTTGCAGAAACAGTACGTGTCCTCAGACACGGTGGTCACCAGTGAAGATGGAGATGCCAACACCATGTGCAGTGCCCTGGAAGCTGTGTTTATCCATGGGCTGCATGCCAAGCACATCCGAGCGGAGGCCGGTGGAAAGAGGAAGAAAAGTGCCCACCAGAAGCCTCTGCCTCAGCCTGTCTTCTGGCCTCTCCTGAAGGCTGTCACCCACAAGTGAGCTCAGCCTACAGAGGCTTTGTTTTCGGGAGGAGTTTCTGAGTGAGAAAAACATGCAGAGCCTCTCTGTGTTCTAGTGTAGAGATAGTGGGTGGAGACAGTTGAAGGGTTCATACTGAGACCAAACTTTCTAGCCAGTGTGGCTTTGGACTTTGAGTCCCTCAGCCTTTAAGGGATACGGTGGGGCTGCTTTGCAGGACTCTTTATTGGGAAAAACCTCTTCTGTTTACTTCCAGGTGCCACACAAACGTTTTGTATGTTTGTTACAATGTGAAAAATTTGGAAACATTGCTTTAGGGGAGGGTTTGCAAACTGCAGCTCGTGGCCTAAATCTAGTCCACCATCGATTTCTGTGAAAAAAAAAAAAAAACACAACTTACTAGAATGTTGCCCCACATGCGTTTATATCTGTATTGTTTTTGACTCTTTGTCCCCACCTGTGGTAGAGTTGAATCGTTTCAACAGAGGTTGCATGGCCCACAAACCCTAAAATATTTACTATTGGTCCCCTTATAGAAAAACTGCCAACTCTACCTTAGAATATTTGAACATCTGTGTGCTAAATTTATATAGTAGTCCCCCCTCACCCACAGTTCCACATTTTTTTTGTGTGTGTGATTTCAGTTAGTCGCTGCCAATCATGCTCCAAAAATCTTAAATGCAAAATTCCAGAAATAAACTATTTGTAAGTTTTAAGTTGAAAGCCATTCTAAGTCAGGTGACTCAAGCCTGGGAGTTGAGTCTTCCCTTTGTGCATTTCATCTACGCTGTATATGCCACCCTCCTGTTAGTCGCTCAGTAGCTGTCTAGGTTATCAGATGAAGTGTCATAGTATCTCAGTGTTTGTGTTCAAGGAACCCTTATTTTATTTAATAATTGTTCTATTTTATTATTAGTTATTATTAATCTCTTATTGTACTTTATTTATCAATTAAACTTTATCATAGGTATGGATATATATATAGGAGAAACACAGTATATTTAGGATACTATCCATAGTTTCTGGCATCCACTGGGGGTCTTGGAATGTATCCACCATGGATAAGGGGAATGGGATTTTTGGGAGGAGTAAAATCTAGGTAGAACATTTCAATATTCACCCATGAGACATTTGTCTTATTGGCCCTGCGCATTACTTCCTGGGCCTTTGAGCAAGTATCTGGCATTGTGCCTCTAAGGGCTATTAAATGCCACCTTCAGGCTCAAGGTACCTTGTCAGTCTCTGATCTTCCTTTCTATGCCTATTAGCATGTCCTCTCTCAGGTTCTTAGCTCTCTCCTGGTTGACGTGGCTTTCTCATTGTTCCCCTTACCTAATTCTGCCTTTCATTAGGTCAGTCAGGAGGTCAACATTTCCTGAACTTAGGCTAACAGGAGCTCAGTTATGGAGTCCAGTAGAGTGTGGCAGCCCACCTTAGAAGGAGACATGCACTGGGGACCATGGTAACTAAGAGGAGGGGCCTTTACCTCAAACCCAGAGTTTGGTAGACTTGGGGTCTTATCTTTCTCTTCAGAAAAATATACCCAGAAATCTACACAGACGTCCACGCTACACAATACCCTGTAGCCCATAGGCTCCCAAATGCCATCCTGGGGCTGTTGCCTGCCCCTGGAGTCTGATTCAGTAGGACCTCAGAATCTGCATCTTGGTCGAGTTCCCCAGCTGATTGTGATGCATAGCTTGTTGTGGGAACCATTGTCCCACATCGCCGTATCAGTGGATACTTAAGACCGTCTACAAGTAGTATCTGAATCACCTGTGCATGTTGTAATCAGACTGCTCACCCCTTCTGTTATATGTCTTGCTTTTTTATGATTTTTATGTCAGTCTCTTGTGCCTAGAAAGTTCTCCTTCCATCTTTCCCTCTCAGAATTCCTCAGAACTGCTTTTCTTTGGCATCACTGTAACTGAAATGTGCCAAGAATAGGTCTTGAATTACACTTGTCCTTGAAAGGCAGTTACTTGCTGAGGACAGAGACTAAGTCTTTTACCCTGTATCTTCACAGCCCTAAGGAGCTTGCACTTAAGGACTCAGCAAAGATGTCTTAGATGAGCAGAAGTCAGGAGTCCAAAGCAGTAGTTGTAGTAAACATAGCAATTATCCCTTATGACA